TAGGCCTACCATTAAAAGCCGTGCTTGCACAGGTTCTGCACGATCCTCTTCAATAATATCCTCTGCTTCTCAATCGGGCTCAAAATGATAAGCGATATTAACGATGCCATTGTTTACAATACAACTGGAGCACATGCCGCTGAGGAGAGGGGTGGGACGCTTAGACGCGCACAAGAGGTGGTTTAGCCAATCACAACACACTGGGCTAGCTAACCAATCAGAGCCCATCGCCTATTTCCGAGGGAGGGGGTTCATAAAAGAAGGAAATGATCAGTGCGTTTTTCAGAGAGGGGACAGAGCGGTGTAGAATAAAGGTAAATTATGTGAAAAATAATGCATTTTTTTAAAAACGAAGCATTAACACATGTTAGACTGCACCCTATAAACACAATCAATCCTAGGAAAAAAACAGTGAACCACCCCTTTAAAAGTACAAAACGAGGATTTTTAAAGAAAAATGTCAGAGGATTTCGATATAAGCCAAGAGGAGACTGGTTTTCCTTTGCTATAATCAAAAATGTATTCTCACGAGACTAGCATATTCTCACCGGAGCTTATGCTACGCCAACGTCATCCACTGGAAAGCAACTCTCGTGTATGAACATACAACAGTTAGCGGAAGCTAGAGATTATGGTTTATAAAGTTTTAAATATGGATATTATGGTCACATACACTTAGGATGGCTTGAGGGTGAGTAAATCATGGGGTAATTTTCATTTTTGGGTGAATTATCCCTTCAAAGGTCACAAATGATTTAATATGGTAATAATATAAGGAAAAACATTATTTGGTTATTAAGACTTTAGAGCTCTGTTCCAAAACCTAGTGAGCATGATTTTTTTTCATCACAGTGCATTCTGGGATTGCCTTCTCCATGGAGGATACTGCATATACCATGCTGCCATTGAACTGAGTTAAAACAAGGTGTTTTTGGAGAAAACATAATTAAGTTACTACCTGTTCACATCAGTGAGACAGCTCACTACTTTTTGGAGCAGAGAAATGAGTGTTTGAAATGAGACTGAATTGTTTGACTTACATCCTCTCCGCCCTCATCTTTAGAGTCCTGAGATACTCCTAAAGCTTCAGCTCTCAACCTTTAATCAAAGGGAGACATTCAAACTTTAATTAGATTGGAGTCACAGAGACTTTTAGACTCACAGAGACTCTTAAAAAGACCATGAGCCACTTTCGGACACACATAATGCATTTTTGCATTCCACTGTGCTGCTTTTCTATTGTCTATGTTAGCTGTCTTAAACTCAACTCCTGGAGGGCCACAGCTCTGCACAGTTTTGCTCCAACCCTAATCAAACACACCTGATCCAGCTAATCAAGGTCTTCAGGATTACTAGAAACTAGAAAAGCAGGTGTGAGTTAGAGCTGGTTGGAGCTAAACTCTGCAGAGCTGTGGCCCTCCAGTAATTGAGTTTGAGACCACAGGTCTATGTCAGTGGTTCCCATCCTGGGGGGTCTCGACCCTCACTAGGAATCGCTAAAGATTTATAAGGGGTCCCCAAGCTCACTCTAGTTTTGAGGGTTACAAATAGAGATGAAACAGTTACAGTTTGATGACAAACCACAATAAAATTCCAGACAGTTAGTATTACCGTTACACCTTTAACATCTTAAAAACTTTTTTTTATAAATGGGGTCATTCAAATTTTTTAATGTTAAAATAGGGGTCCCCTGGGAAAAAGGTTGGGAACCACTGATCTATGTAAACATGCACTAAATGGATATATTTGAGTGTCACATATTTTTCAGTGCCTCGCACATGACAAGGCATTCTAAATGCTAAAATAAAAATTAAAAAAACGTGTCTCAAAACCTTTGCATTTTCTGCCCATTCCACTGCTCATGTCATCCTGGATTAAACTCATGTTAGTGGTAGTTTAAAACAAGGCCGTAAATAATATTTTTATTTTGAAATATGCACGCATTCACAACAAAGGCTCTGTTAATGTTTCTTGTCTTGTCTTAATCAGTGACGAAATACATAAATCACATAAATGATAAATGAGTTGTTAGAGCACAGAGACAGACCAGCCTAAAAATATAACCTTTTCACCTTTTTGTTATCCTAACAACACAGAAAATGACATGTAATAGAGTGCAGAGGTGCATCATTAATATCAAATATTAGGGAGATGAGGTGGCGGGACGATATGGCCATATCTCATTATTGGGGGAACTTGTCCCCCTCAATGTCTATGTTTTGGCCCTGGATTAAAATTGTTTTTAAGGACCAATCTTAAAATCTGTCAACAAACGTCAACGTTGTGACAGAAAAATACAGTGGAAACAAACACAGGCAAAAGTTCCAGACCTCTTTAGCTCTTCCTCCAGTTCTTTCACTCTCTGGTCCACTTTGCTCTTGGACTGTTTCACTGTTTCCAGCTCTTCCCGGAGAACTTCCTGTTCACTCGACAGCTCATCTACTTTAGCAATCAGGTCATTCTTCACAATATTCAGGGCATTCCTACAGATAGCAAAGGATTCCATTATAACCTGTAGACGCATACATGGACAAATACACACACATTCTGTCTTTCTTTCCCGCTTACTTGGTCTCCAGTAGTTTTTTGTTCTCTGTTAGCAGATTTTCCACCTCTTTCCCCATGCCTGTGGGATATACAGTGTTAGCAAGTGTAAAGACCACCATAATCTCAGATAAACAGACTAAGGGACAGCTGATTCAAAACTACATCACGAATGTTTGAAATTACATCACAATCACAATTACAGTACATTTATTACTGTAGTAGCTATTTAAATATAAGTCAGTCAAATCTTCTCTTTATTGAGACAGTAAACAATGACCTTTAAGGGTTTTATTTGCAAGACATCTAAAGGGGTATAATCCAATTTGAATTGATAATATGATTCATATGAGCCGCAAAGCCATGCATTCGAAAGCACAGCACTGAGCAGCTGAAGTTAATAGGATTAGAAGAGCAGAAGCACAGGACAACATCTCACCAAAGCATAGCTACAAATAAGAAAAGTATCACAATGTCCTACTGAAAATAACATGAGGGGGAAAAGGAGGCTATGAGCCTTACCAAAGAAATCATCCCGGACTGAAATAGAGAGCCAAGGAGGAGACAGAAGGAAAGTGGCGAGGAAGGAGGAGGCAGCCAAATGACAGGAGGAGTAAAGATATGAATGGGAAGACAGAAGAGAAGATTAAAAGAGGAAGATAATGATGGAAGTAAAAAAAAAAAAGATAAAATAAAATAAAAAGATTAAGAGAATAGAGAAAAACAAATGTACAGGTACATGTTAGATATTTATCATCACACACATACAAATGCGCACGTACACACACACACACCTGATAATTACATTATAAAGCAAAATGATCAGCTGTCACTATTAAATAGAAAAGTATTTTTTAATATATCAGACCTTTAAATATATTACACTTTTGAGGGACTGCCTTTAACAATTACAAAATAGCTATTTATTAAAGACATGCCCATATACATTCAAAGGTCTGGGGTCAGTAAAATAATGCTAATGCTCAACAATACTCAACAAAGCTGCATTTATTTGATCAGAAATACAGTAAAACATTAATATTGTGAAACATCATTGCTATTTAAAAGTACTGTTTTCTACTTTAATATATTTTAAAATGTAATTTATTCCTATGATGACAAAGCTGGATATTCATCATCATTACTCCAGTCTTCAGTGTCTCATGATCCTTCAGAAATCATTCTGATATGCTGTTTTGCTGCTCAAGAAACATGTCTTGTCATTATTAATGCTGAAAAGAGTTTTTGCTGCTTATAATGTTTGTGGAAATTGTGGTACTTTTTTTTTCAGGATTCTTTGATGAATAGAAAGTTCAAAAGAGCAACATTTAATGTATAAAATATACATTTTGTAACAGTATAAATGTCTTCACTGTAACTGTTGATCAATTAAAAACCCTTGGTGAACAAAAGTATTAATTTCTTTGAAAAAATACAAATCTTTCTGACCCCAGACTTTTGAACAGACGTGTATTTGTAAGTGTTTTAATGTTTGTTTTTTGTACATTTTTTAATGTCATGTGATTCTGAGTTACAGTTTAATGTGGTCTTTAAAGTAATATAACTAATTGTGTTTCATGTGGATGTTAAATCCATGCAAAAGTCATGAAGAGCAAAAAAGAATGAGAACTAAAAATACCAATCAATCAGTGATCAGATACACACCTGAGAATTCCCCTAGGGGCGTGGCCGAGAGAAGCACACACAGGAAGGAAGCACAGAGAGGGGTCGGGGGTCAGTGAGTGAGACGGCCAATCAAAAGAAAGATCCACCTTCACACTGAGATAAACAAATCAACAGCTCTACCTTGATAATGAAACAAAACAAATCAGAAAACTGCCAACATAAATAACGGGAATTACTCAAATGAAACAATTCAGGATAACTTCAGCAGGCCAAAATGTGCTTATGGGCAGGAGATACAGCCATGAAGCAAGCATGATATCCCAAGAGACTTTGCTTTGGGGATACATCCAGCAATGTGGCTTTCTGACAAAAGGCATGCAGTTTAAAGTGCAGGGAAGAAAGGCCCTTAGCCACCATATGCTTAGCAATGGTACTTAAAATATAATCAGAAAATGAAAAATCATTGATCTTAAATGCAGGTTACCTTGGAGAAACCGTCAATCAACTGCGGAGGTCAAATGTTCAGTAAATGAACTATAAAGCTTACCGAGAAGTTCGGCTCCTGCGTCCACATCACCGATGATGTCAGACTTGGCGTCTTTGATCTCATGGTACAGAGAGTCTGTGTTGATGCCGAATGCCTCATTCACTATGCCCTGAGAAGGACTTCAAAGGAACAAGAGCTTTCGTCATTATTTCTGTGCCTTATTTCACTTCAAAACTTGAGTGCTTTTTGAATCCTTTATATTACACAAAGCTACTTTCTAAATAGCGCTTTTAATGATTTATAACTTTTTCTTTGATGGTCCGTTTGTATTGTATTGATCGGGTATTTTGTTCTTTTCATTCAGTATTTAATTGTGTGAATGATGTGTATCTGTCTACCTGTTTCTTCCTCCGAAGATTCGAGGGTCCAAGCACATATCTAGCTCTGGTGTTGAGTCTATAATTTCCTGAAACTCTGACCATTCATCACTACTGCCCATACCTACAGACAAACCCACAGACAATCATTTTCCTGTAATGAAAAATGTGACTTCTGCAGTCTGTAGAATGCACACAAATGCCTTATGCCTTAATTTGACATTGTGAAATCATGTTAGTATGGATTTAATCGATGCACATGAAATGTCAGAACAAAGTGTTTCTTTACTTAGAACGCAAGTGAATGGGGCGGTTTCCAGTAGTGGCCAACCAGTATATCAGCAAGGCTGATAAATCGGCTGATATCTGACCATTTTTAATTACTAGCATCAGCTATATACTAGGATAACAGAACAAAATCAAGGAGAATATTTATTACTTATCAAGTTCAAATTAGTACTATTATTATATGATCAAATTATTATTATATGATTAATTTTCAAAAATAACTATTTAAAATGAATTAAATAGTAAATATTATCTAAAAAAAATATTAAAATTATTAATTTTACTGAAACAATGTTGTGAATGTGCTATTTACTATCTTTACATTTTCTTTAAAAATATATATATAGTACTGTTCAAAAGTTTGGAGTCAGTAAGACACTGTAAAACACTTCTATTCAGTAAGGATGCATTAAATTGACTGTGTAAAAGTGACTGTAAATACTTTATATTGTTACAAAAAATCTATTTCAAATAATAGGAAATACTGTATTTATTGTATTTTTGTTCAAATAAATGCATCCTTGGTGACCATAAGGGACTTCCTTTAAAAACATACAAAAATCTTGCTGACCCCAAACTTTTCAACGGCAATATGTTAACGTATATTGATATATTGATGAACATCAGCATTGGCATCAGCCTTTAAAAAAAAAAACTATCGCTTTTTCCTTGTTCTTTTATTCAGTGTGTATTCTTTGTCTCAATTCTTCCTCTCTCTCACCAATGCTGACGTTCCTGGTTTCCTGAGAGACCTGCACCTCCATGTTTCTACTAAGACGCTTTGCATTCTTGCGGCCCCGCCTACGGGACATGTCGAACTCTCCCACCGATACCAGCCCATCATTCAGAGGGGTAACTGTTGCCGAGGGAACAGATGAGGTGGGAGTGTTTGATTTGCTCCCTGTGCTGCTGGGCGTGGCTGCGACGGAGTCTGAATCTGAGCCATCCTCCTTAGAACAGAGAGAACAACATTATCACGTACTGGATTAACAAATAATTATACTTACTAGCCAGGTTTATATGGTACAAAAACATATTGTTGTAAAAATTCAAACATGTAAATAGACATTTAAAACATTTTCAAATAATAAAATCTCTGTGCAGTACCACTACATCTTTTGAATATCAAGACATTTATCTTTTGGTAACAGAAAGCTGGTAGCTGAAATGGCAACATAAGAAGTCCACAGATAAAAAAGCTTTGTCAGACAGCACTGAAAATCAAACTGCTTTATACTCATGTGACTTGAGTCATCTGGAAAACAGGAAGTGAAGAATCACGTTTTTTTTCTTTTCCTTCAAAGAACTGATGTATGGTTTTTGCGTGCGCAGCCGACAGATGCTTCATGTAGGTGACATTCACTTCATTAAATCAGCTTTTTTTTTTTTTTTTATAACATCTGTTCATTTCTGATGGCTAAAATAAGACAAAGATGTCACAGGACAAGGCAGAGGATGGACGGCCAAACCAAAATCATGGACCCTTGGAGGCCTGCTGGTGTCCATCAAAAAACCACCCATGAACCTAATCTTGACACAAGCAGGCATAAGGGGGAGTGGCTGATAAAATGATGATTATCATGACTCCTCCCCTGACGCTTTGGGGTGGAGTCATATCTGTCACACCTGGTAGCCAGGGGCGTAGACAGGTCTGCTGAGACCACTGGAATGCCAGACATCTGACGAAACCATTCTAGCCCCCCCAGGACCCCCACGTACCATGCCATCTCCGCCAGGAAACAAACTCAGTGATGGGGGGCGCTCTGTTTTACTGCAGAAAAAGAAAGAGAGACAAGAAAAGTTAAATATTTCCCACACTAAACCAACACTGGCACAACATAAAAATGAGCAAAAAACTCAACGGAGAGGGTGAAAACATAAAGACACAAAATCACATAGGAGAAAGAGGTACAGGTTTCTCAGTCTCTGACTTCAAGACTGTTAAACTGGGTGTTTGGGTGGACGGCAGGTTCATTTTTTATTTTAAAGAGTAAAATGGGAGATATAATGGCTGCAGGGAGACACAGAGGTTTAGGGAGCTGTCAGAGATTGCGGGGCATTTTTACCTTTTCCTCCAGTTATGTCGTTGACTGCAGAGACACATACAGTGGCACACGCACAGAAAAAAAGAAACAAACAAAAAGAAGGTAAACACACGCACACTCACAAATACAGTCACACTATACTGACACAGGACATAACATCACATTACGTACAGTATACACAGCATGGAACTGACTTATGCTGAAATTGAAAACATGATGAAACTGCAAGCAACACCTTGATTGTCGCAATTAAGGACTGTCCAACTGGATAACTTATTATTTCATAATGTTATTTTGTATTTCATTATGATAAAGTATGTATATGTACAAAATAGGGGTGGGCTATAAGACCAAAATCTTATATTTATATGTATTATATATCATATATATATATATCATATATATATATATCATATATATATATATATCATATAAGTCATATATATCATATAAGTCGTTACATCAAACCCATATGTTGTTTTAGGATAAGCGGAGGAGAATGGATGACGGAGCTCTTACCTGTATTGGATTTAGGCGTCTTCATTGAGATGAATTGTCTCACCTGAGGTGGGTTTGTTCTTCACTAATGTGTGTTACAGTCAAACTGCTTTATACTCATGTGACTTGAGTCATTTGGAAAACAGGAAGTGAAGAATCACGTTTTTTTCTCTTCCTTCAAAGAACAGATGTATAGTTATGTGTGCACAGCTGACAGATGCTTCATGTAGGTGAGATTCAGTTCATTAAATCAGCTTTTTTAAAACACATCTGTTCATTTCAGATGGCTAAAATAAGACAAAGACGTCACAGGACAAGGCAGAGGATGGACGGCTAAACCAAAATGATGGACCCTTGGAGGCCTGCTGGTGTCCATCAAAAAACCACCCATGAACCTAATCTTGACACAAGCAGGCATAAGGGGGAGTGGCTGATAAAATGATGATTATCATGACTCCTCCCCTGACGCTTTGGGGTGGAGTCATATCTGTCACACCTGGTAGCCAGGGGCGTAGACAGGTCTGCTGAGACCACTGGAATGCCAGACATCTGACGAAACCATTCTAGCCCCCCCAGGACCCCCACGTACCATGCCATCTCCGCCAGGAAACAAACTCAGTGATGGGGGGCGCTCTGTTTTACTGCAGAAAAAGAAAGAGAGACAAGAAAAGTTAAATATTTCCCACACTAAACCAACACTGGCACAACATAAAAATGAGCAAAAAACTCAACGGAGAGGGTGAAAACATAAAGACACAAAATCACATAGGAGAAAGAGGTACAGGTTTCTCAGTCTCTGACTCCAAGACTGCTAAACTGAGTATTTGAGTGGACGGCAGGTTCATTTTTTATTGTAAAGGAGTAAAATGGGAGACAAAAGGACTGCAGGGAGACACAGGGGTTTAGGGAACTGTCAGAGATTGTGGGGCATTTTTACCTTTTCCTCTTGTTGTGTCGTGGACTGCAGAGACACACAGCAGCACACGCACAGAAAGAAAGAAAGAAAGAAAGAAAGAAAGAGAAAGAAGGTGAACACATGCAGACTCACTAACACAGTTACACAATACTGACACAGGACATGACGTCACATTACATACAGTATACAGTATGTATAAATAGATGGAACTGACTGTTTCTGCAGGTATCATCAAATGTAATTTAATGCCTTTAAATTTTTTTAATGACATACACAACCCATATATACAG